GATCTGACTGGATCACAGTTATAAGCGATGTGCCTCAGAGCTCTGTGCTGGGTCCTCTTCTGTTTCTGATTTATATTAATGATACTGACTCTAGAATGACCAACAAATTCTGAAGTTTGCAGATGACTTTAAGATTTTTGGGATGGCTAAATGTATCAGAGATTCTGCAGACTTACAGGGAGATTTAGATCACTTGATCGCAGATGATGTTTAACTATCCAGAATGTAAGGTAATGCATGTAGATTTTCACAATTCAAATTATTGCTACAATTTAAATGGGAATACATTAAATACTGTATTTAAGTCATCTAAACAGTGTACTGTAGCTAGCAATAAGCCTAAAAAGATTTTGGATAGCATCTAAAGAAACATTGAATACAAGACAAGGGATATCATTGTTTCACTGTAAAGATCGCTTGTAAGGCCTCATTTAGAATACTGTATACAGTTTTGGGCTCATTTCCTCAAGAACGAAATTGTTGGAGAAGATTCAGAGAAGAGCCACATACCTGGGATGGTGAGATTGTCCTATGAGGAGACACTAAAATCTCTAAGTTTGTTTTCTCTCTGGAGAGGAGAAGGGTCAGATGGATTGATTGAAATATTTAAGGTTATTAAGATTATTAATAATATAGATCCATCAAACTTTTTTGTGTTTAGCAGTGAAACAATACAACAAGGAATCATAAATTCAAATTTTGGCAGTTTAGACAGTACTGCTTTTCAAAGAGGATGGTTGGCTTTTGGAATGGTTGGTGGAGGCAGAAAATTTAAGTGAGTTCAAGAAAAGATTGGATGAATAGTAAGGGGTGGTTATAGTTAGGAAGTAGAATGGACATCCTTGATGGGCTAATAACCTCCTTTTTTCCTTTTAAAATTTTATGAATTATGAAATGCTATCGTGAACAAAAGTACATGTGCACTAAGAAATAGATTTAAATAGCATTCTTGAGCCTATTCACTGTATTTTAGGTCAGGAAGTAGAAAATATAGTGCGAACATTCCAACACAAATTTTCAACTCTTTCGATTGTACAAAGGATAAAATATATTTCGTAGTAATAACCTTTCATTTTTCTTTATGTTTTAAGGCCAAGTAGATAACATATATCTGTTAAACTACCAAAATAATATTTATTAATTAATATTTATTCACCACTTAAAACTTATTAAACACTGAATCTATAACGTTAGTAATGGCAGGTCTATTTGTAGTCTAATTTAGTACATAAACGTAACGTAAGGCTTAGCTGAAACACTACTTGGTAAATTTAATTTTGCTTTTGGCTGCAACTCAGTGTCATAAAACTTTTGAACTAAACTATTTTGCAGTTATATCGCCGAAGTTATAAAAAAAAACAAAGAACAAAAAAGCAAACCTTTCCAACAAATCAACATAAATTTTGAGCATTCTACATGAACACCATAGTTGGCCTAAGAACAATCAGATGATAGTTTTGTTGCTAAGCGACGATGTATATTGTTGAGCATTACCAAAAAAGAAGTGTGAAAGCGTTCTCGACAGAGTGACAAAGGGAATAAGCCATTTTTGGTTAGTGATTATTTTGCATTGTGAGCTAAATATATAGACATAATAGTAACCAACGCCCCCTTGGCTTATCGAACCTCGTGAGATATTATTGAGTTTACGGCTGAAAATATTGTTAACAATAACATTAACCCGATTCATGAAACAATGCCTTACAATTGTTATAAGTAATATAGTTTGATCATTATATTTAATTTCCTATGCTTCTCACTAGTTCTGATTTATGCAGGTAGTTTGCTTTGATCACAAATTAATATTAGTTAGTTTTCCTTTCATTATCACACCTTTCAGAGCAAATCAATTCTTCAAGCGACTTGTTCATCTTTAAGAAGTTTGGACTTCACAATTTAAATTCAAAATTAAAGATATACAAGTACATCTTGTCAACATACATTTATCGATCGGTAAAACCAATGACCAGGATACCACATCCATCCACCCAAACATGTGCTTTTTATATTCTGGAAGAAAAAAATGGTAAACCAAGTTTTCTATGTTTGTACAAATTTACCCTGTCATTCAATGAATTAATTCCCACATGGAAATTTTAATTTTCAAACTAATAAAACGAAATATTCAAGCTTTTTATGTTTATACTACCTTGTCATTATTACCAACTAATGAAATTCAACTTAGCCATTTATGGTCAACATTCAGTGCACCTGTATACTTTCTTTACCCTCTACTGAAGGCTCTGCCACTCTTTGAACTTCATCAAAGAATACACCCTCCTATTGTTAAAGTTTTTGTTTTTTGTTTGACCTTATAATTGCGCGTTTTCTTACAGAAAACGGTGTTCAGTAAAAATATTTACTATTACAATACAACACTGTTACTTTTTGGCATGAAAACATCTTTAGTAGAATTAAACCTTTAAATTAATTTTACCATGCTGTTTCCTGTATCTGTCATTTTCTCGATGAAACACTTTTACATAAGGTGTTTAATCATCTGATCCATTTTTTCTTTAAAATGCTGAAAAAACAACAACAATGGAGTAGCTGAAAATAATGAATCATAACAAACGTTTTTTTTTCCTGCACTGTATTCAGAATAATTACTAACATAATTTTAAGAACTATCTTTAGAATTTACGATTTCCTAATTCACAAATGATGTGTAACGTCTGGACTTTTGTGAGTTCGAAAAAAACGTGACGTTATGAAATGACAGCGCTAAAAATAATTAGTTACAAGCGGTTGCCAAAAGTAACAACGTTTAGTTTTGGGCATCTTGCCCCGCTTGCGTTCCTGCAAAATTTAGTGAGAATGATTACCATCTCACGAAGTGGAGATCTTCGTGCTTCCTCCAAACTAATGTTATCTTTTCTTTTTCAGTTTAACTCTCTGGGCATTTTAAATACAGTGTTTTATTTTATGATGCATTGCAATGCTTTCCGTTTCTTTGTTTAACTGTCATTTTACGAACCATGAAATAAATTCTAAACATGAAGTTGTCTCCATACTTAGAGCTTAGGGTTTTTGAGAGATGATTTTTGAAACGCTGAACAGTTTGAAAGTAAGGATGAATTGATTCATTGCTTTCCCTTTTCAAATGAAATATCTTAACTTTGTATATGGAATTTCACAAAATTTTCCATTATCTATCTTTATACTTTATATACAGCTTTAAACAGACTTCCATGTATCACCATTCGTAATATTTGACATAATATTTTCCATCATTCTATGTACTGTTCCACGACATTCTATAGGTACTTTTAATTTTCTTTTGCGTTTTTCTATTTTTATATGTACTATTTTATACACTGGCTATAAACCCTTTTCATCCATATTATATATTATTATGTAAGAGGGAATACTCTAAATTACCCTGTAACAAATTAAGCTCATTTATTCATACTAAAACAACACCTAATTTCATTCTGTTTTTATCAGTGCTTGTTAGCATACTTTATTATAGCTTTCTTAATGTTTGCTCGATCAAGAGATATCGCTTGTATTGGGTTTGATTGAGCTCTCTACTCAAATTTTACTTACTTTCGTTGATTAATAAGAACAATAAGTTTAACATTTATTTTGCTTTGGTGACTTTTATGTTTTTAATAGGCGATCAATTGTTATAAATAATGCACATGTTATAAAACCTAGATAATATAGATAATCAAATCAAAGTGATCCATATTCCACTCAAGATCAATCAAGATCAAGTGACGTACATCCGCATCGGATTAAAATACACAATCACCACCAGGGGTTTCCCACCCCTGGAGCAAGCAAGTCTCATGAAATAAACAAGATGCTACCACACACACATTGTTTATTTTGTTTCGGTTTGTTTGTTTGTTTTTAATTTCGCGCAAAGCTACACGAGGGCTATTTCCGCTAGCCGTCCCTAATTAAGCAGTGTAACACTAAAGGGAAGGCAACTAGTCATCACCACCCACCGTCAACTTTTGGGCTAATCTTTTACCAACGAATAGTGGGATTGACCGTCACATTATAACGCTGAAAGGGCGAGAATGTTTGGTGTAACGGGGATTCGAAACCGCGACCCTCAGATTGCGAGTCAAGTTTTAAAGTAAATAGACTGTACAAGAAAACAAAAACAAAATGCTAATCTGATAATTCCTGCGCACTCTGTTTGCAATAACATATGTTTATTTCACAAACTCAAGTTACTTTACACGTTAAAAAAAGTGTACGTACTTACGTTTATTTGTTAACGAACGGCTACTTCTAAATTCTTTCCGATTTATAATATTTGTAAAATTCGTTTCTGTTTTGTATAGACTTCATTAAAGTCACAGGCAATTAGGTAAGTAAAGCTTTTAATTTTTATAAACATAATCAGAGAAATATTTACTGAAAATGTTCCAGAAAAGAAAATATATCAAGATCTGCCAGTTTAAACAGTAAGAGAAATACAGCTGTTGCAGAATAAGTAATCAGTTAATGAAAGCACATCATGATGGATATAATGTATATTACCTCAAATGACTAAGAAGGTTTATAATATTTATTCAAGCTTCATTCACGAAAATATCAGAGAAACAGACGATGATTATTTTCTTATCTTTAAGAATGTATTCGTTAAAAACAACAAATTAAAACAATTTAAAAAAAGAACGAGGCTTATAGCCTATAAGGACTTTAAATTTCATATAAAAATATTTTAAGCAGCTATGATTATACTTCTCTAGAGCGTTGAGGTCACGTACTTCTCTGACCTGACTTAGCAAGTAATTTTTTTCCCAAACTGAGATTGATTATATGTGGCCTCTATATGTCGCTTTAAAACAATGGAAGACCCTGAATAGATTTCAAATTCGTAACGTCCATTTTATTTCAGATTCAAGTGTAAGCCAATGTTCACAATTTTGTTTGATGTATAAAAATGTACTCAAATATTCATGACATAAATGATTTGATACTTGTATTCCTATAATTAGATTCAAAACGTTACATCTTTTCATTTTTTTTCCTTTCAGCTTGGATTGGATCACTGTCTTTAGCTTCAGGTTTTTTCCTTTCACCAGTAATTGTGGCCCTCTGTCGGAGAAAAAGTGTTCGATTAACAGCAGTTTTAGGAGGATTTATTTCAGCGCTTGGTTGTCTCTTTACTTCGTTTGCTTTGCAAATTCACCAAGTTTTCTTCAGTTATGGAATATTTATGGGTTTTGGACTCGGCATGGCACGAGAGACGTCCAACATTATGATTGGTCAATATTTCAAACGCAAGCGTGAATTTGTAGAGCTCATTGTTCAGTCAGGAACTGGATTAGGAATTACTGTGATGTCTGTTTTTCTACGAGAAATTTTAAGGCAAGTAAACATTCGAACTAGAATATGAAAATGAAAAGAGTTTAATATTTTTAGTAAGTCCCTTTTTATTCGCATGATATACATCGGTCAGTCAAAAACTATTACAATATAGAAATAATTACTATTTTAATTTATTCTTTAGACCATGCGTAAATATAAAGGTTAATTGCACCTTATTTCAACGATTTGTATGTGCTATTGGAGTAGCATGCTGCTGAAGGTAGGGAGTCATGGTGCCATGTTTAGCACCTATATATTTAGATCAAGGCGAACACCTTAAGCGTAATACTGCCATGAATAGAGTTATATTGCGTCAAAAAGGATTCGTGATGCCATGGACGACGTATTTAACGACTATATATTTGGATCAGAGCGATCTCTTGATTACTCGAAAGTGCAATACTGTCTTATGACTGAGGGATATATATATATATTATATATTTATAAAGCAATTTTAAAGAAAGATGTTCACACAGAATGTAAAACCTAGTGACGGACATTTCGAAAAAAGTGTTCATTTACTTTTCGTGAAAGCGGAACAATTCGCTCAACAGGACACCTTTGACAACAACAGCGTTGAAAAAATTATCTAAGATAATCTGAAATAGTCAGTCCCCTGTAGAATAAAAGCTATGGTTAGTAAAGAGAAAATTCCAATTTAAAACGCTATTGCGGTGAAGATGTGCATATCACCTGGAACTGCTAGAAAGACAATTAACAAGAACTTGAGCATCACAGTGAGAACGATATACAAAGGGTGAAGTAGATCCAAGGGAAGAGCATTACCTGGAGGAAGTAGATCCAAGGGAAGTGCGTTACCTGGAGAAAGTAGATCCAAGGGAAGAGCAGTACCTGGCGGAAGAAGATCCAAGGGAAGAGTAGTACCTGGAGCATCGTTCTTATAAAGTGCGATTAACCCCAGTAAAGATGTGTATATATATATATCAACAAATCAAATAGTTTCAATAGTTTACACATTTGTTTAATTTAAGTAATCAATATTTAGCATTTCAACTGTGAAAATATATATTTTACTCATATTGAACCCTCACTGCAAAGTAGTTAAACTACGAACTTTTACAAAGGCAAATTTGACAACGTATCAACCTTATGAATCTATTCCATTTCACAAAGGCAGCATGATTTACGAGATAATTATATAAGCCGTAGTGTGTTTATCCATAGGTGATTTACTGTTCGCTGCAATAAGTCTGTCGTATATATTTATAAACTTACGAAAAGGAGATTATAGTTCTTGAACTCTATTTATTTTGTATACTTCGCGAATATTCAGGTTTCCAGTAGAGATAAAGTTAGGCAAGGAGTTTGTTCAGCAATCATATGAAGAACAAAAATGTGTTTAATGCCACAAAATCCTTTGATCTATGCGATATTATTATTTTGGATAATAATTCCGTTATTTGAATATGAAAAATATAACTTAAAATGTATTTAATTATTATTATTTTGGATAATAACTCCATTATTTGAATATGAAAAATATAACTTAAAATGTATTTAATTTAGAGAAAACTACCTGTCATGATTTTTATTTCTAAAGCCCAGTTGGTTACACAACTAAATCCACAAAAGCTATAGCGTATTTGATAAAATTATACAACATTTATCATAAAATTTTCAGGAACCACTTCAAAATATTGTAGCATATTTTCCATACTAAAGCTGGTTATTAATGTATAATATTAAATTTGCATAATAAGTAATTAAGAATATTAAATATTTGATATTATATCCAGATGATATAAAGAATGCGTAAGCGTATTTTATTATGTTCTAAAAATTTAAAATAGATAATGCAGAAAGCTTATTTGATTCCACAGAGCGCTAGACTGGAGACTTGGACTTCAAGCATTAACAGGAATTGTTTTCATAACTTTCTTACTTGGAATTTGTTATCGATCAGCTTCGTTATATCATCCCCAGAGAAGGGCAATTCTTCACCTAAAAAACCAGAAGCGAAAAGTCAAAGACAAATCTGCTCAACAAGAAAAAAACCCCTTCTTCGACTTCTCACTGCTGCGGACCAGGACTTTACAAATCGTCATGCTGTCATCGTTTCTGTGTTCCTTTGGTATTTATACTCCTTGTTTTTATATGGTAAGTAAATACAATATTTTAGAGATGTCTTAATGTTGTTTTAACTTTAAAAGAAAAAAAGAGTATTCTGAGGAGTTCGGAGAAGACACTTTTTTTTTCTTCAAAAAAGTTAAAGAAAGTTTCATTTACCATATTAAAAATGTTGTGGAAAACAAGTTTTTTTTGTAATAGTAATAAGGATATGAATAAATCGAATTAAGCCTTTTGCAATTTTTTTCTTTCTGTTTTGCTGATTTGAAATTATGCATGTAGAGGGATAAATAGTAGAATAAGTGTGTAAAGGTAATTTGCACAAAATGTGTAATCGTTATCGTAAGGAAGTTTGCCCTAAGGTGTAGATCTATTGGTAGGCCTTGAAGTTAAACAGTCACAGACCAAGGTGGCTGAAATGTAAACAGAAGTGTTGTTTGTCGTCTATAGACACAATTCTAACTTTATGGAAATACTGCTTGACTACAGTACAATGTCAACCCTGGGTCACAACCCTAGAAGGTGACAATTATGTGTAACCTTTGGCCCGACGAAATTGATCCTTATACATCTCACTGTCTTTGAATTTGGAGATCGGTATTAGTTTCAACGATACGCAGAAAGCTGCATTAAAGAGGACTTTATAGAAGACGAGTAATGGTGTGTACCCCTTTGACCCATAAATACAAACAAGAGTGTTTGAAGTGGAGTTGAGAAACATTTATTTTGGACACCATGTAAATGGAGCCATTTTCTTTTACAAATGAGTCAAGATTCAGCCTAAAATGTGTCTTACAGCGTGTAGCCATCTAAAAGAAACATGGAACAAGCAGCCAGCACATGTTCATCAAGGAAAAATATTCGTATGGTGGTATGGGCAGGAATTTCCCTGGCTGGATCTACAGACTTCCATGTATTTAAGGGCGGTACTACGAACGACCGGAGAAACAGGGGTGGTATTCTGGATCCCTATGTTAGAACACGTGCAGGTGCAATAGTAAATAACTTCCTTTTAATTGACGATAATGCTTGTCCAAACAGGGCACATGTTATCAACTAGTATCTGCTAGATCACACCATCATCCATAAGAAGTGGTCAGCAAACTCACCTAACCTCAGTTGCATGTTAGGGATGCTCTAGAAAGACGCGTTGCTTTCCTCCAACCCCCTTACAAGAAAGTTCAAGATATGAAAACTATTCTTATGCATCAACAGACTCTTTTTACCTTCTTCTCTAGTATATAATTTTATAAACAGTATATAAAGATGACGTGAGTCGTGTGAATCCGTCAGGGAAGACTGCGTCCTTTATTGAATATCTCTTACTCATATTTTTCAATTCTTCATTTTCGGCGGTTTTTACTTTTCTCCATTGACACTTGTTAAATATTAAATGTCTTTCCCTTTTTTACACAAGTTGCATCATGTAAACACGGACATGTAGTCCAAGTGTGATGGATAAATCTCGCATCATTTTGTAATTATTTGTATATTAGGTTTGTTGCTTAACTTTTGAAAACTAGTGTAGTTCGTCTATTGTGTCTCTTTATCTTTCGTGAGCCACGACTTTGAATTATTTTATGAAATCTAATACGAATATAATCTGAAACTTTTTTCCCACACTCAATGGCAATGATATATAAAACTTTATGATATTAATACATCGTGATGAGTGGAATTTAAAGTAAGTACTACCGTTAGGATTTAATAGACAATAAAACAATTGAAAACAAAATATATGTTAAGTTTATACAAATCCAAGCTTTTGTGCATGGAGACTAATTAACTCATTAATATTTGATAGTGCTTTTTTTGTAATTTATCTACCGTTCTGAACTATCAATTTGGTAACACCCACACCGACTACATGTTAAAAACTATATTTTATCAGGCAGACTTATATAGTAATCATAGCTGAAAGTCGATATAATATCTGGTAAGTATATACCTAACATATACAATAAGTTTAAACTTTCAGCACTGAACTCTGTGAAGACAAGTATTGTACGTTATTGCACTAGTTAAGAAATAAGTCAGGCCTAACTTGTGCTAGTCCGTAGCTCATGTTAATTAATTAATTAAGTAAAAATTGTACACTGTTCAATTACTGCTCTCAGTTATATTTCCTGTGCTGTTTTACGTTATTTGTGTTTAATTATTGCTCTCAGTTATATTTCCTGTGCTGTTTTACATTATTCGAGTTTAAATATTGCTCTCAGTTATATTTCCTGTGCTGTTTTACATTATTCGGGTTTAATTATTGGTCTCAGTTATATTTCCTGTGTTGTCTTACATTATTCGGGTTTAATTATTGCTCTCAGTTATATTTTCTGAGTTGTTTTACGTTATTCGGTTATCATTGTTCATTGTGAGTTACTTTCAAAGGTGAGCATGTACTGTGAGTTCTAATATTTAACAGTTGGATCGATAGCTTCTTGTGAAAGCTGTAATATTGAAATTGGTGAATAAAATGTGGTTTACATATATCTGTATTGTGATACCCAACCTCACTATAGAGCCAGCGATGAAATCTAAGTAATTCTAAATTCGAGCTGTATGTAAGTTATCTTTCATAACTATATAACCAGTGCACGAATACAGTGTACATTGTACAAACCTAAGAAAGAAAGAAGAGCTTCTTAGCACAGAGAACTCTTAAGGAACAACCATATGGGTAGTTACGATAAAAAAATACTTTTACTTCTGTATGTACAGAGGTTGAGTACGTTATATTAAAACAATGTTGGAGTCTCAACACGTCGTTACAGTCCATGTCGCCACGTTCGGTTATATTCTATATGACGACCGTGCAGTATAGTTTCCATTGTAAAAAGCTCTGTCGTAAAACTGTAACATCCAGTGCACATCGCTCCTCCCTGCATGCTTTCCATAATTAATTTAATGTACGAGGACGATGGTTTCTCAGCACCCGTTTCAGCAGTTGTAGATCACAAAAATTACTAGGCGCTTTGTCCGACAACTTGACTGGTATGTATTTGTTTGAAATAGCATAACTAACCATTTCATTCCTCAGCTGCCTGAGTTATGTAACTATTGAACTCATATATAACAGGAAAACAACTTGTGTAAAAGTGACTTTGTCGCTTTTCCAAATGTAGATCCTTCTTAATTGTATTATGTATTGTTGTCTGACATACGGGGACAGCTTTTGTCGCTGAGTTTGTTTTCGTGGATTCTCACCTGTTAGAAGACATCGCACTTGATTATTACAGCCGTGATACGATTGTTACAGGTCTCCTTCTGGGTGGTTCTGGTTACCCCACGTTGATCCATATTCCTTGGTTTTTCCAATGTCATTATGTACAAAGGATATTTTCGTTCTGGAAATTCTAAATTTCCGATATAACCAAATATGTATGATCTGAGTGTACGAAAATTTTGGGTCAGAAAGAGCTGTAATATGTCCTTCTCAAAATCGATCCCTTTTAGATGGCATTATACTACCTATGAAGCTTCAAACGATGTCAAAATATCTTTTGGATAAATGCTGTTCCACCGCGATCTTATATCGTCTGAAGCTGCTACGTAATTGGCTTATTTGCATATTTAAACATATTTTAATATAACATACTCAACACTGTGTATGCGCGTATACAGACATTTGAAAAATCATACACTAACTAATATTTAAGTGTAACTTCATGAAAAACTGTTACTTTTATGCTATTGTTCCCTATGATATTCTAATATTTTCTGTTGTTATATCTATTTGTATATATGTTATACCTAAGGTTGCATTTTTAAGAGCTTTCTCTATTATTCTGTCAGGCCATCATAGCAGACAACGAGGGACTAGAAAACACCTCTATTCTTCTTCTCCAGGCCTTTCTAGGGATAGCTTTCAGTGTGGGATGTCTCATTTTTGGATTTTTGATAGTGAAAAGCAGTGAACAGTGCATTATAGCTCGCCAATATCTCTGCCAAGCCGCCATGTTTGGAACAGCAATTGCCATATTGTCATTTTGTGCGGTGAACGATTACCATGGTTACGTATTCTTTGTTTGGATCTATGGGGTGTTTTGTGGTGGGTTTCAATACACGTTGAAAATGTACATATTTGAGAAAGTCCGACCCAGAAACTTTAATCGCTCTTGGGGATTTCTTCAATGTTCTCAATTTATTTCAGTTCTAACTGGTATTCCAATTACAGGTGAGTTTGTTTTTTGTCTTTTAGGCTAAACTGATATCATGCAGTAACACAAAAAAAGTCTATAAACTATTAATGTACATTTAGCAACTGCTTTTGACCCACTAATACCTACGTTTTTTGTTTTAATTTATAGTATTATTACAAAGGAACTTCAAAAACATTAATCGAAGTTCAAAGGACACTTAGCAGCAACACACTATTATTAAATAAAATACGCGTTAAGTAGGTACCAAAATATATTACATTGTTTAATTTATTTCGATAAAAACAAAAAAAACTAGTAAGTAGACTAAAAATTAAGAATATTTGTGTAATAGTAAAAATTGTATTTTACACCAGTAAAATGTTATAAAACGTACCTTTCATCTTTTGTATTAGTTTGTTAGTTGGACATTCTGTGTTCTCGAACATGATCCCAATGACTTTCTACAAACACCGACCAGCTTAAAACTTAAGTAGATACACTAGCAATCGACGCAGAATAGTCAACTTATAGATTGGTATACGTTATCAGTTTATTTAGTACGTTTAATTGGATATTCTCGATGTTAACGGTGTTTTCGATCATGATCCCAATATATAACTCATAACAGAAACGTACAATGACAGTTATGGGAGTGTACAATGTGTCTACATGTAGATGATAATGTATTGAGATAGAAGTGATCTATATGTGAAGGAGATGTATTTGTAATATTGTTATATATCTGTTTGTTATTGTAATGAGTAAATTATTTCTCGCGAGATATTTACAAATTTTTGAACATTGTGGTGGTTGGAATATTTGTATTAAAGATATAATGATACTATATGACATATACGTAGCTGATTTTTGTTTACAAAGTTTGGCGTATAAATATTACTGTTTAATGTGAATACTTAACTCAATCAAGTATTACTTAACTAGATTTTTTTTTCGATTGTTATTAACACTATCCAAATCGAAGTTCGTATAAGTTTCAAATTCAGTCAGAAAACATATGGAATTAAAGCTAATTGCAAGAATCAGTCAAGATTTAAAGTACGTAGTGATTAAAATTTATTTACATTTCATCGTTCGGATAATGTTTAGGTTTTGTGTTAAAAGCAACTAACATTGCTGTGTTTTACCACCATATAAACAAGGTACGTCCTGAGTGAGACTAAAAGTAACTGAAATTCTAATTATTTTCGATAAACTACTTCTTAAGTTTCCTGTAAAAAATGAAACGACTTAATTATTGGTTTTACTAAAAATTTGTTTGTTTGTAATTAAGCACAAAGCTACACAATGGGCTATCTCTGCCCACAACGGGAATCGAAACCCAGATTCTAGCGTTGTAAGTCCGCAGACATACCGCTGTGCTACTGGGGGTTTTACCAAAAGAATCTTATATTTTAATTTTTACTAACAATTTCGTCAATTATATCTGTGGTTTTCTTTTAATTTCAAATTAAGTAAAAATAAGATACGATTCAATATTATCATATAATAATGAAATATTATGTTGTATTACACTGGTGTATAATTTATATGAACATATACGTACATGTATTTATGGTATACTGTATTATAAATAAGTTTGAATACATATTTGAATACGATACGTAAGTTTGGTAATAACTAATTTTAAGTTAAGTCTCTTACATAATATGTAACTAAAATGTGATCTATCTCATCAACATTATATACCTGCTAAAACTGAATGAAATTATACTCAAGCTTGCTAAACGAATCTAGATATATGGGTATAAAGACGAATTTGTCATTGAGACCATTCTCTGAAACAGTGGAATTGTGTTTCGTCTGAATAAAGCTGCTTTTCTGAGAGTCTTGATTTTAGCTAGGCCCCACAAGTGTCTGGTACAATTGGTCTTCAATTATTGTTTCGAAAACTCAGCAAGATAATCATGACTGTAGCATAACCTTTCGAATCAACCCCTTCAGATGTTCCCCAAAACATTTTATTTTATGAAATGTTAGGCTCTGGCTAAATCATTCCAAGACAACTTGATAGTATGACTTTGTTTGTAAAGCTACTCGAGGTATATCTGCGCAAGCCGTCCCTAATGTTGAAGTTACATATTAGGGGGTGGGGGAATACTTCTAGTCAACATCACTCATCTCCAACTTTTGGGCTACTCTTTTATTAATGATAATGAGATTGACCGTCATATTATAACGCCCTCGCGGCTGAAAAGTCGAGCATATTTGAACCTGCAACCCGCGAATCGAGCGCCATAACCATCACGCCATGCCAAACTTATGACTTTGAAACCAGGTAAAGTTTATATGTGCTTTGTGGAATGGGGTTATTATTCAGCTGGAACACCACATTCACCTACTGACTAGAATTTTAGCTGTGACCCCTGGAACATATTTGAAAAGACTTTTGGCCTACCAGAGCGTTTTTTAGATTTTCTATTATCAAGTTGCCAATACAGTTAGATAGGACCTTCTACAGTATAGGCACATGAACTTTACTATAATTTCATCGATGTTCTGAATTTCCATAGCCAATAACAATGTTTTTTTTTCTTCACACGTTCACATAATTCACGTTTTTAACTTAATCTTACGCACTCTTCAACAACATAAATCCACCTATTTGACATTTATGTTTATTTATTCTCACTGAGTTCCTTTTCACAACGCGTTGGTGAACCGTGTAACATGTTTCATGCTTGCGTTATCCAGCCATGCCTATGTAAGTATACCAAGTCTCAATATTTTAGATTAAATTGAAGAAATCACATTCTCCAGCAATTGTTTCTTCTATGGACTTACGACGTTAAAATCGGGTTCGATTCCCCATGATGGTTTTACATATCGTAGTTAGTCCATTGTGTAGCTTTTGGACAAACGAACAAAACTCTATAATTATATTTACAAAAAAAAACGGCTAAACATATTTTAGAAAAAAAAAGACGATTTTATTCAAACCAGATGTTCCGGCTTATGTCACTATGTTTACAAAAAACGACTAAATATACTTCAGAAAAAAACTATTTTATTTAAACCCGACGTTTCGGCTTATATCACTATGTTTAAAAAAAACGACTAAACATACTTCAGAAAAAAACTATTATATTCAAACCCGACGTTTCGGCTTATATCACTATGTTTACAAAAAAACGACTAAGCATACTTCAGAAAAAAAAACAATTTTATTCAATCCCGAAGTTTCGGCTTATACCGTTCTCAAGGGTTAAGCGTCACATACAAATGCCCCCCCCCCCCAGTGACACAGCGGTATGTCTGCGGACTT